GAAGAGATTACTTACAGAGATACTGTTCCTGAGGAACCAGATATGTAGCAGCCAGCTCTGCCTGCTGGAGGGAGCCACGCACATCCACTGAGTTGAAAGACATTTGCTTCTGCCCTGTGATGCACAATGATCAGTAAAGCGAGGAGGGCATGAAGCTAGGAGGAGTCACAGAAACATCTAGGTTGGAAAAGACCTTGAAGATCATCTAGTCCAACCATCACTGACAGTTCCCAACTCTACCAGATCACTCAGCGCTGGGTCAAACCGACCCTTAAACCCCTCCAGGGATGGGGACTCCCCCCCTGCACTGGGCAGCCCATTCCAACACCCACAACCCCTTCTGGAAAGAAATGCTTCCTAAGAGCCAGTCTAACCCTGCCCTGGTGCAGCTTGAGGCCATTCCCTCTTGTCCTGGCACTTGTTCCTTGGTTCATGAGACTCATCCCCAGCTCTCTGCACCCTCCTTTCAGGTAGCTGTAGAGGGCGATGAGGTCTCCCCTCAGCCTCCTCTTCTCCAGACTAAAACCCCCAGTTCCCTCAGCCGCTCCCCATCAGACCTGTGCTCCAGACCCTGCACCAGCTCCGTTGCCCTTCTCTGGACACGCTCGAGTCATTCAAGGGCCTTTTTGTAGTGAGGGGCCCAAAACTGAACACAGTCATCAAGGTGCGGCCTCACCAGCGCCAAGCACAGGGGTAAGATCCCTTCCCTGTCCCTGCTGGCCACACAACTGCTGATACAAGCCAGGATGCCATTGGCCTTCTTGGCCACCTGGGCACACTGCTGGCTCATGTTTAGGACATGACAAACCAGGCAATTGCTGGACAAACCAAGACTGGGTTTATATCTAAATATCTAAAGAAATGAAAGGGACGGGTGCTGTCACATCACCAAGAGATGTTCCAGAAATCACTGCTAATTCCTCACCACCATTGGCCCTGATTTTTTTGTCATGTCCTCTGCTTTTCCCCAGTGCCTATCAATAGGCTGTTTTAAATAACACCTAATTTGTGCCAGTTTAAGCAAACTATAGCTTTCCATTTTACAAAAGAAAGAGCTAATACAGCCTGCTTCCCAACTGTCTGTACTTCCCTCTCCTCAGCACTTTTTATACAGGGGCTGAGGGACCGTACAGTTTTCCTTCAGTAGAGGACTGGCCCACCTCACTCACTCAACACAGGCCAAGTATTTTCCTCAGAGTGTGAACACCACCTATGACAGGTATGACTCACAGTATTTAAAACCCGCCCAAGGATGCTGCAGGAGAGCTGAACACATGTCTTAGTGCCAACACTTACTCCACAACCAGCCTTCTACCAGACTCAGCCTCCACTTAGGCTTTGCTGTGTTAGAGCCGCTCATTTGGCAACAACAGACTCCCCTGAATTGTTCATGGGGCAGCACAGCCCTGTGCTTGCCGCTCAGAGCAGAGCTTGTCACACAACTGTTACAAGGGAGCCCCATAGATGCAACCTGTTGCCTAAGTGATCTGAACCCATGAATACAGAGATACAGGCACTGTGAATGTAGCTCTTGTAAGCAGAGTGAGCGGTGTGTTTTACTACTAAGCAAACACACCTACCTGCACTCCAAGTTGTCTTCACTGAGATTTCAGAGAAACTATCAAATATTGTGGTTTTCTTTCCTGCCCCTCCCTCCATCTCACTCCATGTGTCACTGTCTTTCCAGTAAACACTTCCAGCTGCTCTACAAGGAAGAGCCCTGCCAGCTCATCCCAGCTGGCTGTAAGCCCCTCCTTTTGTCATTTTAGTTTTAAAGGAATGATCCCTTGTTGCTGTCCTCTCTCCACGTATAGATGATCAGCTATCTTTTCTCCTTGCTCCACTCACCTTGCATGATATGTAAGGAACATTTAGGAAAGGAATCTGCTTTCAGTGCTTGGGCCCAGCCACAGCATCGAGTCATCTTTCATCCTACCCCTGGTCACCGAGCACGTCCCAGCCGGACTCCAGACATTCATTCCCCGTAAAGCTCTCAGGGTACCACACCCTCCCTTACTGTGCAGTAACCTGGTTAGACTTAGCTTTCGCTTGTTCGTACCACCTGATTTACACACAGGGTTACAGACCACAGGCTCAGCGGTCTGTAGTAACCAAGTTATTAATTGCACGGTGCCAGATATGTGAGATGTTTTAGAGAGAGGGTGAAAGCAGGACAAGGGCGTCTGCCCTGAAATTTCACAATGCAGAGACAAAATCCTGGAGAGGAATGTTGTTGAGACGAAAACAAAAAAAAAACCTTTAGGAAATTTACACCTCTGCTCAGCTGCAGCCCTATTCTGTAGGTCGTGCTTAATTAAACCAAAGTCAGGTCAGGGTAAAACACTACCAATGTCAGACGGCTGCTCTCTGTTCTTACTCACAACAAATACCACAGGGGATTTCACTGCTGTATTACTGTACAGACCACACACACACCCCCCATAGTTTTCTGAACCCTCAGGCTAAATAATCCTGTTCTTACGTTCTCTTCGTGTTCTCTGCAGGAGAATGTCTTGCTTGTGCTTGCTCTGTGGACTGACCTGCAAAATACTTCTTTTGTTGGCTTTAAAAGCCATTCTCTAGATTTTTTCAGGATATTTTCATTCCTAACCATCACTTGGATCACGGCCAGCGAGAAACATTCATCTCTTAAAACTCTGCAGCCTGGTACCATCCTCACCTTCTCCAGCTTTCCTAGTGCTCTGCTTATCTTGGTGTCACTAAGGAATGCAGTGCTCATCCCTAGCATTCCTGCAGGCAGGGGCTGTGCAGCACTGAATCAGCCCCAGGGAGGGGGCGTCTGGTTCAGCAATTTGTGCATTATCCATGTGAAAAGGCTGACAAAAATGCCCGCCTTTACTAAACATTCCCCCAGGTTGCCACTGAAATTCTCAGAAAAGCAGAAAGAAGAACAATGTGAAGAAACAGGGCCAGAGCTACGTGAGAACAGGCCAGTGATTCACAAAATCTCGCTGCCTGCTGCAAACAGATGATTTCAAAGAAACTGGTGAAGAGGGCTGCTGTCTGCCCTGGGAAACCTTCACCAACCCCTGGGCAGCTCTTTGAGATGTAGTATCATAGCAGTAATATTCCAGAGGATTGGTTTGCAGCTAGGCAAAGAGCTGCGAAAATACAATGCCTGCCTCAAAACCTAAGCACCCAAAAAAGCAGAAAACGAGGTGGAAAATAAAAAATAACAAAAGCTCATTTTCCAAGGGTGCTCTGCTTCTTGCAAGAGGTTCTCCGTATCACTCAGAAATCAAGCGCCTCTGGGCAGACTCCACCTTCCCTTCCACCTTCACTGAGTGGCCCATTTTTCCAGTCTTAAGAGGCTGCTTGTCTCAGCCTCCAAAATGAAGCCAGTAAGGTTGAATGCATTAAAGATAAGGCAACATTCGGCTCACCGTGTTTCACCGAGTAGTTTTCTTTAAGAGATTAAAAACAATACAATAACCAGTTAAAAGTCACTGTCTATAAATACTGAGCTACTTAATAGCACAAGGCAAAGCCAGGCTACCTCCCTGCTCCCCAACTTCTAAAGAGCAGCTTTGCAACTAACAGGTCTGCAAAGCCAGAGGGAGGTACGGTTGCCACCAGCCTGGCTGGAGCTGGACTTTCCTCCTACTATACCAAATTCTTCAGATTTTTTTTTGAACCTGCTCCACTTTGCCCTTTGAACCTAGCAGAGCGCAAATCTCTGAAGGTACCTGTTGGTGCTTACATGCCTGGCCTTCGAGCTGCTTCACCACCCCCAGCCCCCCCGGGGTTAATCTGTGGGATTAGCCCCTCATTTAGGAAACTATTTGTCTTGCTTGAGAGCCATTCCACACGGGAACAATACGTACATCTCGCCCAGCCTCCAAGGGAACCGCAGCGGCTCCAAAGAGTCCTACTAAAAGACAGTATCTTGTTCTGTGGATGTTCTGGTGTTTTTCAAGGCTCCCCACGGAGATAATAAATGACACGGTCAATAGATAAGGTCTGCGTACATGGAGACTCAAGGTTTTTGGGAAAGCAAGACCTTTATCTGCACTTTAGCACCAAAGGTCTGCGGTGCCTGCATGTCATGGAACGATTTTGTTCTCCTGACAAATGAAAACCACTGACTCCTGCTCTCCCTGGAAATTCTACTCATTAATTATATTATAGTAGCAACTGAACAACCACCCTTTTGCTTTTACTTTAGAACAATCTCTATCATTTTTTCCTGTTCCAGTTCCTGGCTTCCTCCTCAACTCTTGAACGGCCTAATTATTTTTTGAATGGTGGGAATGCTGAGAAAACTCAGCTCGGGGCAGGTCCCTTGGTGGGAGATGGTTTATATGGTCACTCTTACTTATCCAGCAGAGGAGAGAAGGAGCAGGAGGGGAATTCTGAGCCAGGCAGTATGGCAGATGCACAAGAGAGACCACAACCCACGCACAGCAGGAAGGGGAGAGGCCTCCCAAGTCTGTCACGGGCAGCACCGAGCTGCCACAGGCCCTCTCCATCAGCCGAGAGAATTCCTCTCTGCAGGAGCGGCAGGTGAGAGCTTCGCCTGTAACATTTCCCAAAGGCCTCCTTAGAGAAGTCATTTGACCTGCATGAACATTTCCAGGACTTACTTACAAGAGTCTTAGAAATATAAACACTTGAAGCTTTTTCTTGGTGCCTAGAAGGCAACCAAAGCCCAGGTCAGCAGACAAGAGCCTCAGCTTTACATCACCCTGACCTATCAGCAAAGAGGCACAGTAACTCCTCTCCCTTCCCCCCTGTCAGTGAGAGTTGGGGCTACAGACACTGTGATTTCCCTTTACCCCCCTCTGCTTAGACAGAGACGAATCAGCCCCGCCTGAATGTTGGGAAGCAAGAGCCCTCCCACCCACCTCCTGCTAGGGCCAAGGGAGCGGGGCAAGCTGCCCGGAGCCACCCCCTCTCCAGGCAGCGAAAAGCTGGATGCGGGGGAGCAAGCCTGGAACAAACCTCGCCCGCGTTTGTGGGCAGAGCCGCGAGCAGGGAGAGCTGGGAACAAAAAAGAGGCATTTCACGCTCTCGGCTGAGTCACCCAAGTGTATAAAATCAAGGCCAGGCAACCGGAGCCACGCAGAGACACGAAGCATCAGCATTTCTGGACAGGTACGTACAAGCGGATGCGGCTTAGAGGTGGGGAATAAGATTAAATCGAAGATCGGGATCCAGCAGCCCAATTCCTCCCCTCCTCTCCCCGCCATGTGCTGCGGGGCAGGGAATCCAGCGGCTCCGGGGACTAGGAAGCCCTGAAGCTGCTTGGCTCTCGAGCGGCTCCAGACAAAAAAAAAAAAAGACAAAATATACAATTTTCCTGATCAAATATACTACTTTAGTGGTCCCTACATCAAACCTGGGATGGCGGCAACAGATGATGGTCTGGGCAAGACCTGGCACCATTCAGGGAACAGCAAGTAGCTGTTAAGGTTTGGAATAAGTCTGAGATATTTCATACTACGTGGGGCTTCAGTCACACCCCCCCAGCTGTGATATATTTTTGCATGAAGAATGATCATTATGATGCCTGATAGCACAAAAGACAACTCAGTAGGAAAAGCACTAGTTTGGGGCAGTGGTTAATTCGCTTTTCTGACACAGATTACCTCTGCAGCTTTGGACAAGTCATTAGGACTTTTAAATTATTTTTAAAATTTTTTGTAATGACAAAGCCTGGGGTGGGACAAGGAGGGAACACAGAGGGAACTGTAACACTGAATAACTTGGTACCCAAGCTCCCGGGGCCCTGATCCCGGAGTATACTCTCCCTTTCTGAGCCCTTTGACTGAAATGTGGTTCAGGAGCTGCATTTTCAGCACATCCTTTCCCCAGCAGCAGGAGCGTGGAGCGTGTTTGTGGTAAGTCCTGGGCTTTTGCTGTTTCAAGTTCTGCTGAGGGAAGGAAAGCCTTTCCTTACATACGAAAGGTGCTTTTTTACCTGCCCACCCTATTGCAGTTTAGGCCTCTGTGTCCTTTAATGTTCGACCACCCTCCCCTGCCTGTGGAGGGACTGGACCACAGACACAGAAGGGTTTTCCTTTTCTGAGTAGGACTATAAATGCCAGTTTTCTGTGCTTTAACCGCTCAGCTGGTTTTAGTAGAAAATGCCCCTACGTGTGGAAAAAAAAATAGTGCCCCATTGCAAGCAGTTCCTATTCTCCCAACAGTGGCCGAACAAATTTTCTTCTACCATTGCATAGGAATGGACTGCGTTGCCTTCTCTGGAGTCGGTCTGCTAGGCTCACAAAAATCATAATAGTTCTGTCTGTGCATATTTATATGTATAGTTCTGAGGGTATTTTTGGTGATCTGAGTTCCCAGCCCTCGAGGAAGAGAAACTGGAAAACCATTCATGGAAGTCTTGTCAGGGAAAGAGGCTTTTCTAAGTGGATGAAAAGAGATTTCCTGATGAGGGATGCGTTACTGCCTCATTTTTATAGCTGAACAGATTTTAATTCTGTTGTAGTGTGATTTATAATCTGAGAAGCAGCTAATTTAGCATAATTGCAAGTATATTACTACTGCTTGTATATTTTCCACATGCTATGCCATTAAAATAAATGGCCATTGTATGAAGTTGGATCAAACATTTTTTCCTGGTTATAAATTCTGATGGCCAAGTCGTGCTGTGAAAGTCTTGCTACCAATCTATATGCTGAAAATATTTTCTGTAACTAAGACTTTTACATCCAGACAGTGGTACTTGATTGTAGTGAGATTCACTAATTACAGCTCATCGGTCAGATATTTACTCTGTGCAGACAACCTCACAGACAAAAAAACCAAAACAAACAAACAAAAAACGTTGCCTTGGTCACACCAGTTGTTGTTTGGGTATCTTCTTGTTAGATAACTCAACGGGCCGGCCAGACTGGACACTGTGCCGCCCGACAGCCCTGTAGAGGGAAATAAACCATCGGGTCAAGTCCCATAACGTGCAGCATCCCTCTCCTGCAGGTTGTCCAGCATGGTACTATGCTGTTTCAATGCCGGAGTGGCACTGGCACCCTGTACTGCACGGAGGCAGCTGAGCAGAGAGCTGGGGAGCCCGTCTCCTACGCTCCTGCTCTTCTGGGTGCCAGACTGGTACTGGGGGTACCGGTGTGGGAACCAGGGACGTGACACAACTTGTTTGCTTTCTGCATGAAAAACTGTATGTGTACGCTTAAGAGTAAGATCGCCTGATACTTCTGTCCCCAAGGGTTCAGGTTGACTTGGGCTTAATTACAGAAGAGGCATTAATGATCGCTTCTGCTGTCTGGATGCAATCGGAAAAGATTTACAAATGTTTCACTTTTCCATAGCTTCGAGCTGCCTGAAGGGATTTAATTTCCTTCTTAATGGTGATGTTTTGTTTTCCCCTCCCTGAAACAAATCCCAAACAGATCTTGCAAGACACTTAGAAGAAGGATGTTTTCAGGCTTGCTCATCCTTTCTCTGCTGGTGGGGAACACAGCATCGGGCCCGGTGAGCAGAGCAGAATCTGCGGCATCCAGGGACGTCACCACCTTTTTCCAGCTAGCTCGGGAAGACCCTTGGGAGAATGTTAATCTCACCAGCATGTCCTGTGAAGATAGGAAGAACAGGACCTGGATAACCCTGCAGCTGACCAACAGCAGCCTGACAGCCTTCCCCGTCTGCCTTACGGAGACCCTGGAGACCTTGGATCTCAGCAACAACCTCTTGGAAGAGGTGAATGGCATGGAGATAGCCAACCTCCCACGGCTGCGTGTGCTCTCGCTGAGGCACAACCATCTCCAGGCAGTTAGCTGGGGAGCTGAAGCCCTCAGCAGTCTCCTCTCCCTGGACTTAAGCTTTAATAAGCTGTCATCTGTGCCGTCATGCCACAGCTCTGCCCTGCCTAACTTGAGGTGGTTGTCCCTGGCTGGAAATCCATTGATTGAAATCCAGCCGCTGGCTTTTTCCTGTTACCCTCAGCTACAGTTCCTGAACCTCTCTGCAACGCTGCTTGGGTGGGATGACAGCAGAGGGATTAGGGAGTCTGCTTTTGCCATCAGCACATCTCCCAGCGAGGCCACAAACAGGCCTGGAAGCACCATCAACATGCTTGATATGAGCGGGACCTTTCTTGAGAAAAGTAAGTTTCTGGATTTCCCACTGTAAACACAGGGCCCGGGGGAGCAGAAGCCTTGCTGGGACGATGGCTCCCACCCTGGCCGAGCTAGGGGTGGAGGGGAGACACCCCATGCACGCTGAAAGCTGCAAAGAGCTGGTCCAAGCGTCCGAGGCACCCTCCAGCTGCTGTGCAACTGCTGGGGGGAAACCCTCACACAGACCAGCCTCCTGGGGGGAAGGGACACTGCCAAACAGGACTATTTGTCCCACGGTAGTCCCCCACCTCTACCCTAATTCTGCTGTCAATGCTGAGATTAGTTTTGGGACACGCAGGAGGAAATACATTTCTTTTTCCAGACACACTGCTGAAATCTTTCTTTGGTGTCACTGTAGTTACACTCTGCTTTATACCACTGTTACTGAAGTAGCACAGAGAGAGGCTTTTTGTGTCAAACAAAACCAGCCAAAGACTTCTGCACAGGGAGGCAACCCCTGCCCTGAGCAATCTACAGCATGATTTTTTCTTGTCTGCCTACCCTGCCAGCCTCAGTTTATAATGGAGGTGCTGAGGCCGAACGGGCATCAGATGCCTTGCCCAGCTGCTTTCAGCCTGGGGCAGAGCCCAGGACCTTAGGGGGTCCTCGAGCTCTAGTGGTTTCACCTCAACTCAGATACACCACCAAATTTCCTCCATTAATATGCTTAATCTCTCTTGGGGTAGTGAGTTACCCAATTCAGTTGTGGGATGGAAAGGCACTTTTGTATAAAACCTGTTCTTTCCCATTCATGCCTCTCGGTTCTTTTTCCTGTACTGGGAGAAAGAATTTATTTGCCTTTCTCACACCAGTCAGGACTTTGTAGACCTCCTTAATCTTCCCCCTCCCCCCACTTCTCTGAGCAGAGAAATCCTTGTTCATTTAATCTCACCTAATAGGAAGACTATCCCATATCTCTTATCAGTTTTATTGCTTTTCTGTATCTCCCCTTCTTTTCTTCTGCCCTATGACAGCATGACCTGCAAGTAATATTACAAAAATGTGATTTATACACTGCATTTATACACTGGTGTATTGATTTTTGTTCTACTCCTTTGCCAAAGAGAATAGCTGCAGAAGACCACAGAGATATTTTATCTTTCCGTGAATTCAGTACTTTTTTCTAGGTAGAAATCACAGGAATGCTCTATTTATGCAATAGATATAAATCTTTTTTCTTCTTCAGTTCAACCAGAGTGGACCAGAGACTTGCCCAACCTCAGATCACTTCACCTGACAAAGATGTCACGATTAAAAAGCCTCGATACTGACTTCAATTTCTTGCCCAGCCTCCAAGAGCTAAACTGTCAAGATTCCCATTCACTGAGTTTTGTGAGGACAGAGATGTTTGACAGCACTCCTCATCTGAGCCATCTCTCATTTGAGAAGTGAGTTGATTTCTTTTTTCTTCCTCACATAATGTTGCCTTTGCTTCACAGCACCATGTGGTGCCTGCGAGCTGACTTTTATGCAGTTTGCTTGTTATCAAATATTTAGGAAGGAGGTACGGGCTTGCGTGCCGCAGAGAAACAACACACTGTCTTACACTCAGGTATGCCATGTAAAGCCTGTGATTTAGACCTGACACAGCCAGAGATTTAATACAGCCCAAAGAGGCAGAATGAGACACACAGCACAGTTACCTGAGATCACATCCCTTGTGCTCCCACTCTTCTGCCTTATCTCCCAGTGGAATGGACGAACTCATCTAGCACTGTTCAAATCAGCACAGATCCACTGAAATCCACTTAAGATACAAAACACGCTTCCCTCATCTACAGTGTCTCACCAGAGAAGCAGGTCACTGAGGATTCCGTGCTCTACAAAGGATGAATGCTGACAAGTTTCCTAAAATCTGCACATTGGAAACAGTCAAAAATCCTGTCCCTCCCACTTCTAGTGTGAGATTAATATAGTTCCTTGCTCAGCATTAGTAAAAACAATGGTTTAGTCCTTATTCAAGAGGTAACACCTCAGTGTGGTTTACTCAGTATTGAAATACTTACTTATTGAAATACTTACTTATTGAAATAGTAAGGGAAACAAAACTCTGAAAGTGATTTATCAAAATAACAGCAGATAAAATGCACACAGAACAGTCAGCATTAAGGAAAATATTTGGAGAGCTCTTTAAAAGCTTTCTATAATATAGGCCCAGATTATAAGCATATCAGAAAACACACTAGAGCACTGCCTGCGCTCTAGGAACCAGTTTGAGGTAAATAAACACATTTAAGCAAAAAAACCCCAAGGGATTCCATCCCCCACTACATTGTCACCCTGAATTTGCACAGCACTTTACAATACCTGCAGGAATAGCAGTTCAAAGTGCTAAAATCATGACCCAAACTTAAAAAACAAAGGAGTAGCAGTTAAAGCCATAGACAAAAGAGAGCATCTTCTAAGCACTCAGGCTGCAAGGAAGGTCACGTTATCACACTCCTCCTGCAGCTAGGACAGCTTAACACTGTTAAACACTGTTTAAGCAAAGTCTTCCTGTATGAGTCATTAGTCATTCAACTTGCGTGGGTGAGAGCCTATATTATGAAAATGAGGCAATTAATGTGAAGAGGATGATTGGCATAAAGTCAGGCCATTACAAGCAAACTGAGAAAGAAGCTAGAGAAATGGTGTAGTATAAAAGAAATGCTGAATGCGTGATGGCAGAGAGGAGATCATCTTTCACGGAGGACCCTTGCCAAGTGCTAGGTGCTTTCCCTTCCAGTTGCCATCTCTAAAGATGGTCTCCCCCTTTTGTTATGTTTTAACACACAGCAGCTAGGCTGCAAATTAGAGATGGGCAGGTATTAGACTGGGCTTTAAAAGTGCCGAACGGTGGTGGTGATAACCAGCTACTTCCAAGGGAACTGGGAATATTGTTTTGTGTTTTACACCTGCTGGGATACTAAGCACACTCCTTTTCTTGGAAGGTAGCTCATTGTTTGCTAATCATTGCATTTGTCATCTTGTAGCTGTAACCTGAGTTCCTTTAATCCCTGGAATACCAATTCATCAGATAGCATCATCATCAACTTGTACGGAAATCCTCTGGTATGCGACTGCCAGCTCTCCTGGCTGCTCTTCAAGCCCACAAAAGTTGTTCTGCAAAAGTGAGTTCAAGGAGATCAAGTGATGCTCTTCAACGTTAAATGTATTAAGTTATTTGGGGGACCAAACATTCATTACCATCTAAGTTATTCAGATTCCTGTGTGTTCTTCCCTTCCACAAGAGGCAGAAATGCCAAATAGAAGTCTACTTCAGGGACAAAGCATGGGTCAATTATACTTGAATGTGGACAAATACAATAGGCACGTGTAGAACAGTATAAAATGTTCTTACTTTAGTGGATTCTACTTTTATTTTCTCTCTCGGTTCATATTTCTCTATTAGCTGGAGATAAAAAAAGAGAGCTGGCTTGGGGGGCCTTGATGGGTCAGCACTAGGAGCGGGAACTGGAAGACTTTGAAAGAACTTTAACAAATTATTTCCTCCTTATCCTTGCATTCTTAAAAGCAGCAACAGCAGCGGCAGTCAAACAAACCCCCTTGCAGATAGCACCGTTTGTCACCTATTGTTTTCATGCTCTCCTACAGTTTTACGGACCAATTACAATAAGCTGTAGTTAAAAGAATTACTTTGCATATGTATGATGTCTCTTCCTTTTGAAAGGCTACCGAGAAGATTTGTCATCAGTAGCAGCAAGAGTGGGGAAGTAGATTGTTAAAATTAGATTGTTTCTCATCGGGATGGGCTTAGCAGTTGCATTCTTTACAAAAATATGCAATGTCTGAGTAAAGAGAGCTTAGTCATTTAAAAGCACACCCCCATGACAGCACAGCTCCAGCTGGTTTAAGGATCTTGGGAACCCTGTTATATCTCTCTCCATACATTCCCTCCCCTCTTAGTGTGGGATTAAAGTCTGACTCTTCAAGTTACCTTGAACTCCAACACTCTTGCTAAGGTTCACGGTCCTTGTACCAAAGGCTGATTCCCCTCAGCAAAAGATATTCTTGCACCTTCTAAAAACAAAAAGTCAGTCAGCTGAGTTCCCTCCCAGTGCTGTGGAAAGCCATCTGCCAAGCACAGGAGTATTGTTAAGACAACCTAGCCTTGGTCTATAGATTTCACATCTTCTTTAATATAAGGACTGGTTTTGGACAGCAGGTTGCCAATTCCAATCCAAGCAGCCTGTAATGTTCTTGTGCATCTTGCCTATTCTAACTTTTCCCTTCTTCAGGGCTTGGGAGACGTTTTGCAACACACCTCAGGAAGATTGGGGCAGACCTTCAACATCTTTTTCACTGCTAGAGCTCTACGATAAATGCCAGTCTGAGAGAAACGTTACACTACCCAATTCAGTCACACCTTCTGAACACGATGCTTTCAGCCTTACCAGTTATGATGCCACCGCTGTAGTAACAACAACAGACTCTTCTCTGCTAACCAAAGACACTTACACCAGCCCCCTGAATCAGTGGAATGTAATGAGCATGACAACAGCCAACCCAATGGAGCTGATGCTCACAAAGGCCAACAGTTCCTCCCACGAGGAGGGAGCAGTTTCCGAATCAACAAGCAGTTCCCCTTCCTTCATGTCCGTAACTGCCTCCTCGGGTTTTCCCAGTGAGCTCTATAGTCAGTCCTCAGATCTTGCCTCTGCTAGTCAAACAGATCAGCTAAAGAGAGAGCTCACACCAACCAATGCGACCTTTCCCCAGGAAGGCCCATTCAAGCAGACCACCAGTGGTTATTCTACTGGAGCAACAGGAAAACCCAACGCCACTGACCATTATCTTCACTCCTTTGCCACTCACACCAGGGAAGGCAGACCACAAACGAGCCTAGCGCAGCTCAACTCTACAAGGACCAATGCCAGGCCAGAGCCTGCAGCCACCAAATCGCTGATCCACTATGTAGATGACTACGATTACAGTGAGCAGTCGATGGAAAACCCAGTGCACGTGGCATACCCCTCCTGTGATTACAATCCTTGCCGGCACCTTCAGAAGCCGTGCAGTGAACTTCAGAGGGCATCCCAATGTTTATGTCCTGGCATGTCGAGGGAAGATGAGGTCCCAGATCCACCGAGGCTTAGAGAGGTGTCTGAAGTTACAGACAGCTCTGCACAGATAAACTGGTGTGCCCCATATTCAGTTGTTCACACTTACGAGCTGATTCTTCATGCTGAAGGCAATGAGGACAGAGAGTTTGTCCTGGACAACATTTATTCCACAGCAAGGGAGCACACTTTGTATAATCTAGTACCATACACCACTTACAACATTTGCGTGACTGCTTTGAACAAAGCAGGGTCAAGCCAAGCAGTTAGGGGAACTCTAGGTAATTCATGCACTAGATTTAAAACAAAACCCAGCTACAAGTCTATCTTTGCTGCTCTGTCTGCAGCAAGCGGACTCTTTCTCATTTCCACAATTATTTTGTCTGTGTGTCTGTGTAAGGCATGTAAAAAGCCTCAGAGTGAGCAATACGGTACACACTTAGTCTCTTACAAGAACCCAGCATTTGACTATCCGTTGAAACTACAAACCACTAATTAGCTCAAGGTAATTGTTCTTACACATTCAAAGCTCACTGTCTCTATCACCTTGGTATGTTTTCATGAGGCTCTAAAAATGTCCTTCAGCAAAACTATGAAACATCAGACTTCATAGTCCTTAACGTTTCTAAGGGAGAGAAAAACATTAAAGAGAAACTAATAAGGTAGTCAAAGAGAAAAAAAGCTTTTGGGCTCTTGTTCATGTGCTAAGCAGCAGCAAACCTGGACACTAACCTTGAAAAGTTGTTTTTATAATCACTTATAATATAGGAGCATACATTTCACAGTGAGAGGCTGCCTTGCCAGCTGTCTGCCTCCAGTATCTCTCAGAGGTACAGTCTGCTGAGAGCCATGATCCAAGATGCATCTAGCTATGCAAGATAGACTTGGCTTTTATTCACATAAGTGAAGTTGGGTTTTAGATTTTATCTAATGTCCATATAAAGGTATTATCCAAAAAGAGAGAATTACTGGAAGGAGCGAGAGAAAGGTCTCCCTGGGCTCAGTGGCAAGGTGCTGTGCAGATCTAACTCTGTCAAGTAACTCTGGTGACTGCAACAGCTCAGGCCAACTTCAGGAAGAAGAAACATGAACTGTAGAAATGGACAGGCCAGGATGCTTAGGGCAGGAATAATTGTTTTGTTCTGACTTTGTACGATGTTTTCTACAACTGAGGTTCCCGAGTGCTACCACAATACTGATCTACAGGTGGAGTGAGGAGGTTGCAGTACAGCAGTAACCCACAGAAGGGGGGAGCACATTACCATTTGCTTCACAATCGATTTTAAGCAGAGATGATTGCTCAGTCCTATCTACAGATTTAGCAAGCTGATAATTTGCCTCTTACAGAGGCAAAGAGCCAAGTAATGAAACAGTTTAATGGGTATATTGCTGAGACTTGAAAAACTGAAATCCCATCCACTAGCAGCAGACAGTTATGCAGACATTTTTCAAATGTACTTTTGGGTGCTAATTTCGGCTACAAAAATAATGAGAAATGCTGAGAATCTCAGTTCTACAGCACCTTTTAGCTTGCCGTTAAAATTTGAAGAGCTGTTTGTGTAAGGGGAGGAGTTTGTCCTTATCAGATACTTCCCGTTCAGAGACCCATAGGTTTATGTTCCATAGCTGTGCAATTGTGCTGCTGTATAGATACATCAAATCTCCCCAGATGTCAGAGTGGAAGGTGTTAATACAGTGTAAAAGAGTCTCTCTTCATTCGAGTTTTTTTTAAATGCTTCCAGTACTAATGGAAGTAAAAGCTAAAGAGTTGTGTTCTAGTACTTTGTTAAAGACCCAAATCTTTGCGGAAATAAAAGCTACAGAGTTGTGTTCTGGTTCTTTGTTAAAGACCCAAATCTTTGTGTTGTCTTTACCATGTACAATGTTTAGCCTGAGACTGAAACATGTTGTTGTTTTGGAACAAACTTTCAGCATATAGTAAAATCATGTTTCTATTACAGTAAATCTGTGTGATCTGATAAGAACTTTCATTCTGCATGTGTGTAAGGTGGCCTGTGTCGTCCTCACCCTTAGGGGCTGGCAGCCCTTTCCTGCAAGTGCGCCCTTTCTCCCACACCAGTGCTGGGAGTGACATTGTCACTGGGCAGATGCTCAGTGCAAATTCCTGCCATCTCTGTCCCATGCTTGGCTGAGCCCCTAACTCAAAACTCACAATAGAGGCAAACTGCAAATGGAAAAACTGGGATGGTGTCATCTTTCACTCTGAAAATCTCTTTTATTTTCACATTCTGGTGATTCAGACCTTTATAGGTTTGTACTCAGATTTTCATATTTATTTCCAGCCTGTTATTTCCTGCATTTTCTGGAAGCTCTAGTGAACAGGTGCAGATGGTACTATAACTTCATTTGAAGTGAGCAGGAACCTTCAGTCTTGGCATCATTATTCCAAACCGGGGCAGAGATCTCTCCCTTGTGTTTGTACAACGTAGCTTAGAGATCTTGACTGGAGTCTTTGGTGTTAACAGAAACAAAGCAGAGGAAAATAAGAGATTCTTGAATAGCAATTTGTAGTCTTGAAGATTAGCTCTAGAGGAGGAGGAAAAAAGATACTGCATCTGAAAATAAAGATTGCTCCATCTTAACTACGAGTTAGACCAAAGCAACAGGACACTGTTTAAAATTAGATTTTGAGAGGGTATTTCTAACTACCTTTTATAACATTACAACACCTGACTAGAAAGCTACAAGGCCTGCAGATCTGCCAGTATCAGGATTTGACTTCCCCAAGGGTCAGTGCCCAGGGGATGCTCCAACCTGACACTTGCCTGAAAGCGCAACCTCATACTGAACTCAGTCTCTGATCCTTTCCTTCCTGTGAGATGCGGGATTATCACAACTGATTTCTCCAAACAATCGTCACTGCAGCCTCTCCTGACTTTTCACAAGCCTTCACTGCCTTCAAGTCAAGTCAAAGCCTCCCATTCTTTAAATTGCCCTTCCCGGGGGAGCCAAAACAACTGTATTGGTCCCACTCCCACATCCCCCGCCTGCTCCAACTTTAGAGTAACCCTCACAGCCCAGTTTCACAGAATCATCTAGGTTGGGAAAGACCTTGGAAATCATCTAGTCCAACCAGTTTCATCTGGGCTGACACACTGTCCCAAAGTACAGAGGCCCAAGCCAGGGGTTGTGCCTCTCCTGCCTGATCACACTACCCTTTCACAAGCAGGATGTAAGAGATTTGGCAGCAGGATTCAAACCAGTGTGTCTTTTTATCAACCCTTGTGGTAATTTAGCAGTGCTTCACATGCAGAAGTTGGGGTTTTTTTTTACCCCACTACCACTTTATAGTTTCACCAGAGTTTATTTTAGTAACAACCAACTTTACTCAGTTCTCTTTTTTCCTCTCTATTTGAATTACTGCTTCTCTTACTTTGCCGTTTCCTGATATTTGTGCTAAGCTACAACCACTCATACACACACATACACACACACTCCAACATAATTTTCAAGTTAAGAAAGATAATGGCTTTATTTTGCTGTACTTCAAAAATTCCAGCTTGGATAAAAAAAAGTCTCCCTCACAGAACCCATGTCTTCTAAATAGCTCCAGCAGCCCAAGAACAGGTAAAACGGCAATTGTTCAAAAGTGCAACTTTCACCTAAGTCACAATATTTTCAAAGTATTCAGGTATGAAACTCTTCTTTGAAAGCACTGCTTATTGTTAGTTCTTAGAACCAATGTATACTTCTAGAAAAACCGAATCACCACATTATCCATTCCAGATTTTTTTATTGTAGCTGCACCTATCAATTTTGAAAGTAAGTAGTATTTTAATCAATAGGGTAAAGTTATCTTGTAGCTCATTTGCTAGTTTCTACATAATCCCAGTAGAACTGCAGAAAAAATAACATCATCCCCATTCCCCAACCTCAAACCCAGAGCTGTCATTCATGTAAACACAAGTAATAACCAGTTTGGATATTTCTTGCATTTTCATTACTGTGGATGGATACAAGCAGCGGAGTCAGCTCTCAGTGCTGCTTGGGACTGGGACAGAGAGGAGAGCAACCAGGGAGCTAAACGGAAACATTCCCACCCACGCATAAAGCCATGTTAAAAAATTGTCCAACTCTGCTCTGCTTGGTTGTTCCTCCCCCTCTTCCTGTTTGCAACCAACAGCAAATCCTGTTAGTACCTCCAGCTCCAAAGACATAAACCTTTGGCAGCCTGGCTGAGATACCGAAACATCTCTGAAACTATTTTAAAAGCTAACAAAAGCCAACCCATTTAAAAAAAAAAAAAAAGTCAAAACCCAAACAATCTACTTATTGTTTCACATTTGTCCCATTTGTCTGTGAGAGGAAGATCACTTGAGGAAGTGCAGAGAGTTTTCTTCAGAGCTTGTGTAACTTTTTTCTGGCTTTTCTTCCCAAGAATAAATTGTTATCTGCATTCCTAAGAACCTTCTCCATTCACATGTCAATATTTTTCTTTCAACAGAACCAAGTTCAAGCAATGGAAGACCTAAATAGCCAAGTGTGCATGTGGGCACATCCCCTGGGTGTCGTGGCAGAAGTACATGCTGCTCCATCTCTAACTCAGCATTTGAAAAGCAGTCCCTGAGTCTCATGGAGACTCCCAGCAGCAGGATTCTGGGAAAAGGAGCTGATCCTTGAGAAGGCCTCCGTACAGAGAAAAAAAGCAGCTTTCTAAGGGCCAGAACCCATGTGGGCAAAGGTCTTGCTGGCTGTGAGGGAACAGAGAGGGACCACCTTGTCTTCAATGCCACAAATGCCATTTAGAGAGCAGCAGGTGCTTCAGCCTGATCTGCCTTGGTGACACAAGGGAGCCTGCTTCTGAGAAGTTGTTCCTGGCCACAGGTGAGAGGCATTTAAAGGGTGGGCTGGGAGATGATGGAGCCCAGAGCAGGGAGCTCACATCATACCCCTGGCTTTTTCAGCCTCTTCGTGGCAGGATGCAAAGATCAAAGCGCCATGCTTGCTTGGCAAGCGCTGCACTGGCACAGACATACTCCTCCGCAGTGATCTCCAGAAAAACACACTTGTGTGGTGTCAGAAATGAGGATGCCTCTGAGGGCTCAGGATCTTGCTTGTCAAAAGCATCTGATTCACACTTTACCTGTGAAAGAGAGAGATACTTATCACAGGTGCGAACACACTTTGAGTTTGCAGAAGCAGATATTCATAGAAGAACATGTTTTAACTCTTTCTGCTTTCTCCAAAGCACACAGTTTGTTCTCAAGCAGGGAAATGTATAACAAGAGTAATTCCAACCTCTTTAAAAAGTAATCAAGCAGGCCAACAATGTTCTTTTGAAATATATTCAGGAAACAATCCTTTACAGTCAGGCTGGTGTTCTGCTGTCATCTAGAGGGAGAGGGTGGAATCATCTCCCCAGGTACCCTCACACATGGAAATACTAATTTTTTCACTAAAGAACTTCAGCCTGCACCCTACAGACCACGGCTTGCTAACATACATTAAGTACCCTGTGTGCGTCTGTGTATCCTTACCTATCAACACTGGAAGGGAAAGAAAGCAGAAGTGCTAAGAATTAACAGTAGCAACAGTCCCATAAATTCAGCAGCTGTCTCTCTTTGTAGCCTTATGATCAGGAATCTCTCTGCCAGCTTGACACTTGATAAGGAAAAATGTAAAATTTTTCATAAGAGCAAGGAGGGGATTACTGTCTGGGAAAACCAAAACCAGTAAATCAATCTACAAGGGCAATAAGGCTTTTTAAAACACCATCAATTTTGGAAACAGAGATCAGATCGCATCATTGCACTTGCAGAAAAAAAAAAAAGGCAAGAATTTGTTGGTTTTTTGATTCAGCACAGATAAAGATCAGTAACAAGTACATTTATGTTACATAAGCTCTTGAATTTCATTTTGCATGTATTATTACTGTGGAATATTACAATAATTGGATGGGGACCTTCTAAGCGACTCTTTATCTGCTTCAAAAAATACTGATGATTCAGCTGATGCATTTTGTAAATCCAGGGCACAGTAGCAACCTGTAGAGCCCCAGACAGACAGACTGTGCATGGAGCTGTTCCTTGGTACCTACACAGTACAACCAGAGTCTCTGCTTCATTTGGTAGGCGAGCACATCAGTGCTCTGGGCCCACTGATACATAGAACTGACCTGCCTGTAGGCAAAATATAAGTTTTTTGCATGCCCCAGTTATAGCACCTCTGAAGAGTCAGGGACTGCCAAGAAAGCATTAAATAAATTGTCTCCATTTTCATGGTGAAAGTTGACCAACCTGTAACTTCAAGCTGACATCTCCCATGCCACAACATGTTTTGAAGAGTACTTTGACAAAGTAGCTATCTTTAAAGTACAGTCTTCAAAAAGAAAGGTCTGAATCCATAGGAATCCCTTATGGAAAATCTTCACAGGCTTAGCAGTGTTTACCCTAGTGTTTTAGCAGAACAAAGTCACTATAAATAGAGTATTTTTCTTCTCTCCTCACACTTCAGTGCTGCATGATGTTACTACAAGTACATGCAAGGATACTTGTACAGAACTCGGTCTATTTCCTGACATAATACCACAGTATTTGTCCTTATTTTTGCTAGAGGAGGGTTAGGGCTGCTGGGTAAGCAGCCTTTTCAGTTGTTTACTATAGATTGCAGATGATCTATTTTTTTAAAGGAACATTAGGGAGAAAAAAAAATCAGAAAACACCAGCGAGAAATGGAGGGATTGTGAGAAAAGGAACAGAAAGTCTTCACAATACATAGTCCATAGGATACACCCAGAGCAGGATAGGCCCAAAGAAAATAAAAAGAAATCAAGGAAGAGAATGCCAAGAAAAATCCGCAAACCCTAGGATCCCTCATTCACTGTCTCCTCCAGACGGTGGAAGCAGTGACGCAGCTATCCCTGCCACCAGGGTGGGCACAGGACCTGCAGCTCCACAGGGCTCTAGCTAGGGTACAAGCCAGGGAACAGTGTT